TACAATCTTTCTTGTCCCAAATTTCAAAATGAGCATGGAGGTTACAATCTTTCTTGTCCCTTAAATTTCAAAATGAATATGGAGGTCTCTTAAATTTCAAAATGAGCATAGAGGTTACAATCTTTCTTGTCCCTAAAATTTCAAAATGAGTATGGAGGTTACAATCTTTCGACAATATTATTTATCTTTTGTGCATGGAGGTTACAATCTTTCTTATCCTTTAAATTTCAAAATGAGCATGGAGGTTACAATCTTTCTTGTCCCTTAAATTTCAAAATGAGTATGGAGGTTACAATCTTACTTGTCCCTTAAATTTCAAAATGAGAATGGAGGTTACAATCTTTCTTTTCCCTTAAATTTCAAAATGAGTATGGAGGTTACAATCTTACTTGTCCCTTAAATTTCAAAATGAGCATGGAGGTCACAATCTTTCTTGTCCCTTAAATTTCAAAATGAGTATGGAGGTTACAATCTTTCTTGTCTCTTAAATTTCAAAATGAATGGTCCTGTACTTTTCCTAAATTTCAAAATGAATGGTTTTTATACTTCCCCTATAGCATAGAAGATATATACTTCCCCTATCATCCAGCCGTCTAATTTTGTTCAAGTGGGCTACTCACCGTTTGATCTTAGATCCGATGCCTTAGAGTATTTTATTTTTTATTTTTTATAAAAATTGCATGAATATGAAAATTGGCACGTGACATCTTCTTATTGAGATGCACCTACAAAAAATATTAAAAATAATTTTTGGATAAAATATAATTATGAAAATACCCCTTAAAATTTATATTTTTTACAAGTGCCAGTTTAATAGAGGATTAGACGCCCAAAATTTGGTGTCAAAATAATTTATATAAAAAAATTCAAGCCATCCAATTTGACATCTAATGAGTATGAGTGATTGTGACATCCATGTACCAAAAATAAATGATATCTTTGTAGATAATCCCTTTTTCAAAATTTGAAGTTCACGGAACATCATATTTTAAAATTCAAAGAATTTTTGAAAACCTTTTCGTATCACCAAGCTTGTGCACTTGGTGCATCAAAAAGAGCATTTCGGATTTAAAATCCAAAGTACTAGTGTACTTGTTGCATCCATAGAGTTTTCCAAATCCAAAGTACTCTCTGGAGTTGTTTTTGGGCCTACACCAAGCCCGTTTGCTTGCTGTGTCCAAGGAGTACTTCGTATTTTCAAAATCAAGTCCTTAGGAACTTTTTTTGGCCTTGCATCAAGGTGAGAGAGAGATTTTTGTTAAACTAGGAGAGAGATAGGTCTACCTCTGAGAGGGAGAGACTTTTCACCATTGGCCTTCATCTCTGTCGATCAAGAGAGAGCGAGAGAGAAAGAGTGAGTGTGTGTGGGGTGGTCGGACCCGGACCAGGACCTTGACCTTGATCTTGACCCAAAAATATACTATAAGATTTAAACATGGAGTTAGACCTAGACCCAACTGGGTTTAGAATCCTCAGACCTGGACTCTGGCCCTTAAGTATAATGAAGGACCTGGACCCAGATCTGGCTCAAAAATCAAAATATTTATATATTTATTATATGAAGGGTGTGGTATTTATAAAGTTGTAACCTTAAACAATCCAATTAAAGCCCACCTCCAAATTTTATCATGCAATTTGGTGTTAAAAATTCTTAAGGATTATTTGAAAATCTATTGTCATATCTAAACATAAAATTTTAAACTCTAAAAATGGTTAAAATCAAGTAGATCTATGAAAAACTTGAAAATTGATAGTCTAGATAATGTGTTGCAATGTACTATTTATGGGAGTAAAAATCTATTTTTTTTTTTTTTGATATTCATACATCTCGATGTCGAGATGATCAATTAGAGGGTTTTTCAACATTAAAACAACCTCTTCCAATGGATTTTTGAAATACATTTGTAATTCTACATTTCAAGGTTGCAACCTCATATACACTTTTTTTTAATTTAAATATTCTAATTATAAATATAAATATAAATAATTATATTTATTTAAATATTATTTAAATATCATAACTATTCAGGTTGGGTTTGGGTTAGGTCTACATGAACCTGGTTCTGGATCCTGACCCAAATACTATTTCAGTCCAAGATTTGAACCCGCCCCATGTCCAAATTTTTGACTAATATTAAAAAAATATATATTTGGATTCGGGTCGGGTCTATCAAAGGGATATCGGGTGGGTCGGGATCCATTGCCACCCAACTAGTGATGATATGAGAGAGAGAGAGAGAGCTTAGTATCAAGTGGTGGAGCGTTGAGTGTTGACCAGCGTTTTAAAAAACGCCGAGTCGTACCGGACTCGCCCGGTTCGACTCGGAAATAGTGAAAAAGGAACCGGATCGCCCGAAAATCGGAAATCGTCCGGTTCTAGAGAGAACCGGACGACTCTGTACAGTGAATCGCCGATTCACTGTACGGAATCGGCGAGTCCGAACAGTTAATCGGCGATTCCGTACGGTTTTA